TTATTTTTCAATTAAAGAAATTGCTTTGCTTTAGGGATCGTTCCTGCGCATCTCCTTACTTTATAGCAGTTATTGCTCCGGTTCCAGAAGGTAAGCTCTCGCCTCAGCTTAATGAATAGTTATAAATTTTAAACAGAATTAAGGGAGATTTGGTGGAGGGATTGAAATAAATTAATTTTAGGATAAACTTTTAAATAAGTCAACACACTATAACATCTCGATCTTTCAGAATGTCTAAATTAATCTATACCTTTGTGGCAAAATGAAGAGTGATTAATAAGTTAAGAAGGATGTGGTATGACTTATTTGAATTGTACAATGATCGTATTTTAAGTTTTGGAGTCAAGCAAGTCAAAAATAAAAATTGACGAAAGTTAACGCAAGTTTTGTTTTAAAAATTTCTCTGAAATTTGGGTTAAAATATCTCAGAGATTTTCTCCCAATCTATGAAGAATTACAAGTCTCACAACTTATTAAATAGAAGGTCTATGAGTCTAGTTTTCAACACATTAAATCATTCATCCATACAAATTACGATTTCAAAATAGAGAACTATTCACATTTTTTCGAGATGATGCAAGCATGCACGTGAGGTGAGGTGAGCTAAGTTCGATGAAACCTTTAGTTAATCTGCCACCTTCATTTTCTTCTTCATTTTCACATTCCAGATAAAATCCATAAAATACTCCTTAGATCTTAGTGATATCATCTTACAAGCTTCAGGAAAGTTGCTCTACATCGCGAACTCATCACTTTGGCATAGTTTATTTCATCAATTTCATGGTATATTTGCAAAAGCATTGTGGCAACGAAGTACTATACATATAGAGTGTTATGGGTATCATTATGAGGGTGTATAACAAGGTAAAAAACACTATTTTATCGATTTATAGATACTTTAGACCTCGCATAGTATTTTTTGATGAAAATGCCTGTCTTTTGTTGGATTGTCATGAAGCCTTATATTTTTGTGTATTGATTGATACCCTGACATGTTGTAGTATTAGGAGAGAGGAGCGACAGAAGACTTAAGGACGTTTGAATTCATCGAAAAGAGATATGTCAAAACTATTTCCTTCTTTTGACATGTTTTCTTAAAGCTTATTAGGAGCAATACAAGTAGTTTGTTGTTATCGTTGATAACTCATAGCCATGATTGTTAGTTGTTGGCTGTTCGAGTTATTAAAATTATCACTTGTCTGGATTCTTGTTATGTTAGTAGTGACTTATGTTGGGAACGACTTATAAACTATTTATATAGGTTGTTTATAGCTAGATTTCTCACTTTCGACCTATTGAATTGTTGTTGTTGCCCTTAGGGATATTGTGGTTAGTTGCATGAATGTGATAGTTTTCTAAGAGTACTACGTATTGCCTGCGGGGCTATATTGTTGTCTAAGAGGTATGCTCTTTCTATGAGGCTACATTGATACATAAAAGGGTATGTGCTACCTACGAGGCTATATGAATGCCTAAGAGGACTATGTGTTACCTACGAGGATATATTAATACCGACTATTTGACTGCCTACAAGGCTAGAGGACTATCGATAAGGATATGCAGACTGAGTTGACACCTTTCAAGCTTGTAAGGGCTAAGATAGGTGGTTTTGTTTGTTGTTTGTACCTGCCAAGCTTATTGGGGCTTGATTAGATTGTTGTTTGATTATTTTTGCATGCTTATATTCAGGAGCATGTCAGTATGCTTATCTTATTTTAACTTCATTACCTGATTAGTTTTGATATATTATGATACATGCTCAATTAGTCTATTACCTTTCATACTCGGTACATTGTTTCGTATTGATGCCCCATTACTTGGGGGCAGCATTCATACCTACAGGTCCTGACAGACGACCTCAACAACACAATTGACTTCTATCGAGTCGGCTAGTCCATTTCTTTTGGAACTGTCAGAGTAAAGTATGTTGAATTTTGTTGTATATAGTTTTTTTGCAGCCCGGGGACAATTTTGATCAAGATTTACTACTCTTAGAGGTTTGCAGACTAGTGTGGGATTGTATAGTCATGTTATTGGCTATGTTGGCTTTGTTTGTTGGTTGGCTAAAGTTTTATGATTGTTCGGTGTATTGTTTTGACACATAGCTATTTTCAACTTCTGTATAAAGTTCATGATGACTTTGACGACCTATATAGCGTTTACGTTTTTCTAGATATCATGGTAGCGTCAACGTCCCAAACATGACTTGTGTGCTAGCTGACTATTGTTTTATATGAACTGTTGGGAGTATTTTTTTTTAGTAGAGTTTTTAATAGGGGACTTGCCGATTGAGTGCCTATTTAAAGCCAAAGTATATTTATTTATTTTCTTGGTCGTATATGATTGCTATGCGCCGTTAGCAAATAGTTCATCAGACCTAAGTTTTGACATTAGTTATAAGTTGTGCCCCTTGAGTTTGGAGCGTGACACACACAATATTTGATTGACAACATAAAAAATTCACCAAATAACTAATGCAATATTTCATCAACATTAAATAAATATTGTAATAAGATATGCGAGGATTTGAATATTATTTCATACCAAATGAGATATAAATAAAAATATGCGTTATTAACAATATGAAAAATTAAACTATTTAAGACAAAATATTATTTATAGAGATAATTACATTTTAGTGTAGTTCATAAAGTTACATTGCATAATTTAGCCAAGATTTTCAATGCTCATCTAAGTTAGTCAATTTGCATGCCTTTCATTAATGAAACTCCACCATTGATAACAATAGATTCTCCACATAAAAGACACTTTATTTTTCCAACCTTTTACTAGAAAATTAGAATATATCCAACTATTGTTTCTTTGTTTTATAAAGATTTTTTTTTTAAAAAAAAAATTAGATTAGATTTTGAAACTATAAAGACCAACAACAATCAATTTTTGATTTCAATTTCATGGTGGAAATAATAATGGAAATACAATGTTGTGGAGTCTCTACGAGTCATCTTACAAAGACATCAATCGCACTCGAATATTACCAACTTTTTTGTTGGTCCAATAATTGAAATGAGTAGTCCCAGACGTATGTATATATATAGCTGGTGATTGATAATGATTCATGATTTTGAAGAAATTTACATATTAAGTTGTTGATTTATCTTCGTTATTGGAGCTATTATGAAATACTATTGACATTTCATGGTTATAGACAATCCTTGTTGAAACTTAAACCTTCAAAGTCTGAAAATTGATTTTTCGCAAATAAGTTTCGTTTTGAATAGGTATTATTATAATACAATGATTACGTAATAAAATCTAAACATGAAATTTTGAATGATTTGACGTAGTTTTTGAATAAATCTGACTTTGGATTCAAAAAAGAATTGTATAATAGTATATAATATTATATTATTACCGAAAGAAGTATATAATATTATATATTATTGTATATGAAATGTATAAATATCTCTTATAGTTTATATAACATTTTATATTAGGTATATTATATTATATCTCAAGTTTATAAATACTTGAGAAAATGGTCTAAACCCCCCCCCCCCAACCTATACTCGAAATCTCAACTACACACTCCAACTTTACGGGTGCCCTATTACCCACCTGAACTTTATATTTCTCTATTTTATACACACCTAAGTGCTGACCTGTCATGGGAGGTGTTCTCACCTCCTCTAGGCGCGTTAGAAGGTTAATTTTGACGAAAAATTCCTCCTTGTCTGAGCTCCGGCGAGTTCGCCTGAATTACAATCTCTGTTCATATCGATCTTACTTACATAATTGGGTGCGCTGGGCTGAGGGGATTCCAACATAGTGATTTGTTTCCCCTGAATCTCAGTTATCGCTGACGAAACTTCGTTTGAGTTGAGAGGCGATTTTGGCGATTCTCCCCCCAAAATCGCCTGAGCAGATCTCTCAAACGGTAAGATAGAATGTTGTGATTTTGTAGTATTAGGTAGATCTTGAGGTGTAGATTCCATTCCATCAATTGGAACGATCTGAATCACTCCAGATTTGGCTAGGGAAATAATTTCTTGCGCCCACTTTAACTCCTCCTCCAAAAGATGAACAGTGATCGGTGGATTGTAATTCAAATTCGAGGAGCTGCGGTTGGAATTTGAAGGTGATTCTTGTTGGAGAAGATCCGTCTCCTCCATGGGTATATTTTCGCATTAGTCTGAAAGTCGTCTGACCATCGCCGGCGGCGCTACGGCCATTCCGGTGGAACTGTCAACTTGCATTCTTCGTTACAGAGCGCATTGCTAATGGAGAAGGATTGAAAATGAGAAAGGAGGATTTTTTTTTCTTTTACGTTTTAGGAGGGAAATGGGGGAAAAATAAGAAATGGGAGTTGAAGAGGCGGGGGACCTAGCGCGTGGAATCACGCAGACCTAATTATTTGGTTTATGTGTTGAGGTCAGCACTTAGGTGCGTATAAAATAGAGAAATAAAAAGTTCAGGTGCGTAATAGGACACCTGTAAAGTTGGAGTGTGTAGTTGGGATTTCGGGTATAGATTGGGGGGGGGTTTTAGACCATTTGCTCTAAATACTTTTATAAAAAATATATGAAAAGCTTTTGTATATTATTATAATATTAGAATATCATATTGTATTTTAGACTAAAAATCTTATAATTTTTGAAATTTCCCCTTTTTCATACCCTCATTATTAATCACCACATTACAATCTTTCCATTATTATTCATTGTTTAAACAACCTAACCAATCCTGAGTAGGTATATATAAAATCCAGAGAGAAAGAGAGAGAGAGAGAGGGGTTTTGGTTGTGGTTTTTGATCAAATCCAAAGTGGGCATTGTTGTTTGATCGAAATTGGTTGACAATGTCTTTCTCTTTCTTCAAGGCTTCAAGGCCTAAAACTCCATCAGAACTCGCTAAAACAGTCAAAGATAGTTTTAATGCCCTTGATTCCATAACTGTTGCTGAAGTTAAAGCCCTCGAGAAGGTTCTTTTCTTGGACCCATTTGATTCTTTACCTCTATTTTATGATTTTTCATATTCTTTACGGAACCGAGTTTTCTGGGTTTGTTTTGTTTTTTTTCTAAGAAAGAAAATCTACCAACCGTATTTTTTTTCTTGTTTTACCTGATTTGGCATATTGTTTAGGGAACTGGTTCTTGTGGGTTAGTGTTTCTTTTGGGAAAAGATACAAGCTTTATTGAATTTGTCGAAAAAAAGAATGAAGGGTATCGACTAGATTATTAGTAAGATTGATCAGCTGTATATAAGCACTACCAACCTGCTTAAGAATCAAGACAAAGAAAAAAGAAAATGGAAATGAGCTTATGGTTTGATCTTTAATTTATTTCTGAATAGCAGGGATGGGGAGTTCTACTTTTCTCCTTGTGGGCGTGTGGTTATGTAGTTTAGTGATCATAATTCATAGGTGTGAAATAAGTAGAAGTGATTGAGTGGAGAACTAGTTAATGCTGGTTTAAATTTCTAATTGTTTTAGAAGGAAATGAGCATTACAATTGATCGATGGTTTTGGGACTGAACTGAAATTGCTATTTTGTTATGGATTTGGGTGCTAAGAAGGAAGTGTTTTTGGTAACTGTTATCGGTTGGATTATAAGAATTTCTATTATAAAAACTTAATTAGATGCTTTCCACTTGTTCAAGCAAGGCTCAGCTTAGTTAAACGAATGATTTGGATAGTTGGAAACTGTGATATGGACTAATGGAGAGTGGAGGAACCGGAGGATTTAATGTAGATTACTAGACAAGGGTTAAGTAAAGTTAACTGCACTGCTACACATTACTATCTTTCATCATAAAATAGAATTAATAGCAAAAATCTGGACAAAGGGAGCAGTTTTTCTTCTATGAATATGTTGGTTAAGAGAGCAAGTACAGTAACTGAGATAATGAAAAATTATTTCACCTTTTTAGTTCTTTTTAGTTTCAACTTTAGGCAGTTCTCTAAAAAAGATAGCAAACAAAATTATCCCCAGAGTCGAGACTAAAGAGGAATGCATAAAGCAATGCTTCCATAGATTCGATCATGATTTACAATTATAGCTTTCATATCTGTTTGTTTCTTTTTATATTCTTTTTTTAATCAGCGTTGTCTAAGTTGAAAAAAATCATTTCTGTCCCTAAACATTGGAACCTGTTAAGAAGTCCGGATGGGTAGAGGGGTGGGAAATTGGTCTTCTTATATGGACTTGGACAAATCTTCCCTCATGAGCTAGCTTTTGAGGTTGAGTTAGGCCCAGGTACCATATCTTTACATGGTATTAAGTATTAGGGCCAGACTCATTCCAATTTGTTGTTCACCATTGTTGAGGCCCCATTTATAAGTGTTCACGCTCCATTTGAGGTCTGTGCGTGTGGGGAGTGTTAAGAAGTCACACATCGGTAGAGGGATGAGAAATTGGTTTCCTTACATGGACTTGGACAAACCTCCACTCATGAGCTAGTTTTGGGGTTGAGTTAGGCCCATGTGCCATATCTTTACCGAAACTAAGAATAAGGCTTAACAGGGTAACTATCTTTCCTTGCTTGCTTTTTTTTTTGTTCATTAGAATCTGTTCCAAAGGATGACAGTGTTTTTTTCAAATATCCCTTTCTTACAGGCTATGGAAGAAGTTGAGAAAAATATTGTGGCAATGAAAGTTATGCTCGCTGGAGATGGAGAAGTTGAGCCGAATCCAGATCAAGTTGCACAACTAACACTTGAAGTTTGTAATGAAGATGTTATTGCACTCTTCATTCACAAATTACTTATATTGGGATGGGAAGTATGTTTTTATATCTTATCTGAAAGGATATTCAATCTTTCATCAAACTTAATACACTGTATTTAGTTTTAGATTCTATGACTAATTATTATGACTTTTGCTTAGGCTAGAAAAAATTTGGTCCATTGTTGGTCTATTATGTTGAAGCAAAAAGTTGACTCCACATATTGTTGCGTGCAATACATGGAAAATCATTTGGAATTGCTGGACTTCCTAGTTGTTTGGTAAGCAAGTCTAATTTTTTGTGCATGCACATCTGAAGAGGGTAGAACCACCATGATTTGAAGATAATTGAAATTATTTTTAGAACAATTTCTCTAGTTGTAAAGATGACTCCGTAGTATGTGTTTCCATTTTGGTAACCCCCTGGCTGGTGGTGGTGAAAGTGCTGGAGACCTGTAAAAACTTAGCACTACTGTTTCCTTTAACAGATGATAGTATTGTTAGTCCATCCTGACTGATTGAATTATGTGATTATATAGGATTAGGGGAAGTAATTGTCTTTCCATATGCAGATAGGGAAAGTCATTTCAAACATATAATACTTCGTTGGTTCCACATGTTATATATATTCTTAGAGTGAAGAACTCTCTCTTAAAATTGTCTTTTTCACGCTCCTACTTCTGAATTAGCATACCAGAAAACAATCTATTGTCTTTCAGTGGGATAAAAAGCTCATTCCATTTAATATCACTTTGTTCATTTCCTTTCAATTAGTTTGTTACATCTCATTTATATGGCCATTTAGTATTTGAAATTTAAAAGTTTTCAATTGTCATATATGATATATCAACACTAAGCTGCTGGTCCCCCACCGACACTTGTATCATGAATCCTTTATAACAAGGCCTTACCATATCTATCCTGTTTTGACAATAAATATGACATCTGATATTAGAGGTTCTTTTCCTCTAGCAATAACATTTCTTTCTTCCTTTTGTTTCGGTTTTCTTAGTTGTTTTACGAAATCTCCCTTTGACGTGTTCTGGTGGCATCTTTAGCTTTCTTAGCAGCTAAACTAGGGAGTCTGTGTGAGAACAAGAAAATTATCAATTCAGATTAAACACCTGTAAACAAATATAAAATACCATGGCACTAGAAGGTCTTCAAAGAAGATGAAAGTTGAGCAAATAGGATTCATTAAAAGAATTATCAACCCTCCTATTTCAAAAAAAAAAAAAAAAAAAGAATTATCAACCCTTATCCTTTAAGAGTTGGGTTCTATTGAAAGGTAAGGCAAGTATACTTAAGATCTCAAACTATAATGACCAAATATATACTGAAAATATTCCTGAACAACTGGTATTTATAGAATCCAGGCAAGTTAGATTTGGATAACATTCTTTCACTGTCAGAAGTTCCTTATTTGGCTTACACGTGAACACCCTATGATCTGTTCTTGAAAAAGAACTCTCTCCAGCATCTCCGTTCCTCCTGTTCTGCTCTCAGTAACCTTTTAACTTCTATTTGTTAGGTAACTCTTGATAACCTTCTAATTTATATAATAAACATAAGCTACAGTTTGTTGTGAAATATTGTCACTGAATAGTATTAACGTTCATGGTACTAAGACATTCTGATTTCACGGGCAGCTATGACAACAAGGAAATTGCTACGCATTGCGGAGGTATGCTTAGGGAATGCATAAAGTTGCCAAGCCTTGCAAAGTAAGATATTCACACTTCCCTAACCCTGATTGTGTTTAAAGCTTCTTTGTCACTATCAGATTCTTCAGATTTTTGAAACTTCTTTCATTTTTGCCATTGTTTAGCCAAGGTCTTTCATTGTTACTTTATTTCTTGGAATAGATTCACCTTTTAGGTCCAGATTCTCAAAATTTACTCAACTTCTTGAAGAATCTGGTATTTTACACCCCAAGCCCGTCCCCGATTATATTTTTCTTATGAGTTTTATGAACCTTATTTTAGATACATCTTAGAGTCTCCCAGCTTTGGATTGTTCTTCAAGTTCGTGGAGTTGCCGAACTTCGATGTTGCTTCTGATGCATTTTCTACCTTTAAGGTCATATTTTTTGAAGTTCAAGATTGTGCTTGCTATGCACCATTCTCTGTGAATGCTGCTTTTAACATATCTTGAAATTCTGCAGGATTTACTCACCAAACATGAATCTGCTGTGTCTCAATACCTGACTAATAACTATAGTGAGGTTTGTCACATCTGAATTGTCACCATTATTTATCCACTGATCAGTCTTACGTTAGTTTTGTTCTTGATACCTATTGACTTTTACTTCCAGTTCTTCGAGCAATATGAAAAACTCTTAACTTCTCCTAATTACGTGACAAGAAGGCAATCTCTGAAGGTTAGTTCCCTTGTTAATAGTCCTTTCTTTTGATTGTTCTTATGGCTCTTCCGCTGCTGATAAATGTTTCATGAAGTTTAGCTTCTCTCAGAATTTCTACTGGAGCCTCCCAACTCCCTTATTATGAAGCGTTATATAGCAGAAGTCAGCCATTTGAAAGTTATGATGAATCTACTGAAGGTATTCCATGTTGTCTCTCGCTTGCTCTATCATAGTAATGTTTCATTGGTGAGGATAACTGGTATGTGAGTTTTGGAACTGTTGAGTTACATAGTGTGCCACATCGGTATAAAATGGCATCTAAAGGGGTTTGTAAAGATCTATACCTCCACCTTGCCTCTTAAGGTTTTGAATTGACTGCTCAAATTCTTCACATGGGCCATAGCAACTGATACAATCCAGGAGAACCACACCATAAAAGCTAGCTATTGAGGTGGGAGATCCCAAGGCTACATAAGCCCCACATCAGCTCCCCATTAAACCAATGCGGGACTCAAGTCCCTTAACTAGCTTTTGGGGTGTGGTTCTCCATGGGTCATACCAATGGTATCAGAGCTACCCAACGCCCTTCGTGCATGTCGTGCCTTGGATGGTAACACCGGTACTGCAGTGTTGTCCTGGGGCAAGAAATGGTCTAGCGCACAACCGTCAAGGACTATAGATACGGAGCGTAGTGGTTTGTTATGATCCTATTACAAGGTATGGGACTTGAGTCCCACATTGGTTTAATGAGTAGCTGATGTGGGGCTTATATAGCATTGGGCTCTCCCACCTCAGTAGCTAGCTTTTGGGGTGTGACGATCCCTGGTTGTATCAACAACCTTTGAGAGGTCCATTCTCAAATGTAAGTGGTATTAGTTTATGTACCACAAAATTGGGTTACACGTGTAGGATGGTGTTAAGTTATGCATTATCTCCCATTTGGTATAGAAAGACATCCAGAAGGGTAGGATGCTCAGACTCTTTCAGCAGAAGTATGTAGTTGACAGTACTTGATGAAGGAACACTAGGTGACTCCATAGTCCATTCTCAGTTCTGTACTTATCTGGAAAAGATTCAGGGGACAATATGAATTTTTTGGAGTGTTAAGAGTGGTCTCAGATTGCATCTCAGGACTTCCTCATGCATTATACTTGCTTTAGTTGGACTTGGGTGGAGATTTATAGTTTTGTTTCTCTTTTTCTCGTTCAATATAAAAATGATTTTATTTTTCTTCACATGCAGGACTCGAGCAAAAACATCCAAATCTCTGCTTTCCATATTTTCAAGGTGATAATATTGTCTTACCTCTAGATATCCTGCTTTCTGATAAGAGGGGAAAGGGGAGGAAGGTATCATTTTGCTAACTGTGGGAATTACCAACTTGAAAATCTGAAACTTTTTTCTGCATATGGAATCACCAGAAAATCTGCATAGTAATATCTCATGTAGCATGTGCCACTTGTAGCGAAAGATCTAAGCAGATTACTTAGCTCATAGTTGTGTAGATCTCTAAATACCTCAAAATGGACTCGGATGATTAATAGTTGCATTACTCTCATAACCTAGAACCCGAAAGTCCTTTTTCCCTCAGATGTTTTCATAGTATATCTTTTAGCCATGATTTTGGCACACCTGCTATACAGAAATTCTATTGTCTCTTACATGTTACATAAGCAGACTCATCAATATTTCATCATGTGTAGAAGAGTGCTTCAAATATGATCTTTCTTACTTGTGTCAATCAAACGTCAACAACAATGAAAGACAGTCAAATTCAAGAATTTGCTATTTGGGACACACGTTTCAGAAATCCAATGGGGAGGTTGCAAATTCTCGAGGATTTTGTGGCAGTGTCGATCCTCATTGAATTTGATTCCATTAATGTTCATGCTATAATAAGATATCCGAAGTGTTCATGATCTCTCTCTCCTTTCAGTAATTAAGCATCCATATGTCTGTGGTCCGGCCTTCTCTTTAACTCACATATAGCAAAAGCTTAATGCACCTGGCTGGCTGCTCTTTTATGTCCTGTTTGCACATACAGATTTAAGGTATATGCAGTCCTCATGCCTATACAATTCTCTTGCAGGTGTTTGTTGCAAATCCAAACAAGCCTCGAGAAATAAAACTTATATTGGCAAAGAACCATGAAGGGTTATTGGCATTGTTAAACAACCTTGGAAAAGGTAATACATTTAATTTAAGCATATAGGGTACAATTGCTCTTGAGATTTAGCATCAGTATGTTTATCAGTTCTCTGAATTATTCCATTATCACAGGTGGTGAAGACGATCAATTTGAAGAAGAAAAGGAGCTGATTATGAAGGAAATAGAAAAGGTGTCTCGGTTGGCTAACTTGGAATCTTAAGTATATTACCTTTTTTTGCTTTTTTGTGATTCATTCTCATTCTTTGAAGTTAAAGGAAATGTCTCTGTGAGGGTGCTGCTTGCTATAACATCATCTCCCTAGTCTAGAAAGAAATGTCATGTACTTACTTATGATCAAACCTATTTTCTTAAATATAAGCTATTCAGTGGAAACTTTTTGTGCAGTCTATTGACTTATGAGAAAAATCAACCTTTATAGATGAAAAGATTATCAAATGTTCATGGACTGAGACTAGTCTTATATTTCTGCTGTTTATCAATCTTCTTCTTTGTCCTAGTGGTATCCAGTATCCTCACTTTCTTTCTTGCCCTTTCTTCATGCTGGCCTAAGACGTTTTCCGTGACCGAGAGGTATAGCAAGAGGGATCTTCCCTAAAAAAAGTACCAAGACCTACCTGTTTTTTGCTCCCTCTATTGATAGAAAAAGGGCACTCCTACTATCGTTTCAGTGACTCATAGAGCTAAGCCTTATTCCCCCACCCCTAGACGTAGAGGTGATAAAGGGGTTGAAATGAGAAAAGTCTCGTAAATAAAGAGAAGAAAGAGGGACAAATGAGAAAAGGTAATTTGTCACATAAAGTTTTGTTCCTCTTTACCTATTTGTCCATTTGCAACTAATACAAAACTAAAAATCTTCTTAAAGATAATTAATGGGATCTATTTTAGTATACATTTCCTCTTTACCATTGTTTTAGTTGGTTCATTGTGTGAATGTGGCATGTTTTGGCCATCCACCAACAAAGTAATGATACATTGGTTATTTTCTCTTTATAAAATAGCATTTTTAATTATAAAGTAAAGTTGTGACCATATCCACTATGAATGATAAGTGAGGCCTCTAATCACACCAACAAAAAAAAAAGATTTACTTTTGTCGATGCAATTATTGAATTTTTGTATTAAAAAATTTTGGTTTAGGAGTTCTTGACTTCTTTTTTTCCAAGTTTAGGAGTTTTTTTTTTGTTTAAAAAAATCATAATTAGATTATTTTATTTTGCTGGAAAAAATTTCTTGAAGAAAATAATCTCTTCCATATTTAGTTAATTATTTTTCGGAGATTTTTTTTTGAATTTCTATAAATTGAAATATTTTTATTTCAACAAATAATAAAATAATACTTCAATGTAATCGTTTAAGAATTCTACTCAGGGAGATACTATTCTCTCAAGTCTCAATTGGTCTTTTTTTCAATATTTGCTTTTTCCAATAGGTAAACTTTCAAGTTGACCTTTTTTTTTTGTTTTGCCATAACTCTTCATGTTATTGTTAATTTTGTTATCATGCTCATATATATATATATATATATTAGTTCATTTTTTCTTTGCATTATATTTTTGAGTGTGTTTTCGTATATCAATATTAATATAATTTTGACTTTTGATATCAACGATGAAAATTTGTTCACTATATTTAATTTTGCTCCTTAATTGTTTTGTGACGGTGAGTTATCATGTTTGAAATTTTTATCTTAAAATTTTTATGTTATTTTTTTAAAAAAATTGTACTTAATAATATAACCTAAACACAATAAATTATCTTTTATATACATTTATTATTAATTAACACAATAAATACGTGAAAAATACATACACTTAACTAGTTATTTAAAAACATAAAGGTTATGCTCTATCATAAAAGATACCAAAAAATCAGTGAAATAATAATATGTTTCTTTATATTCTATCATTTTTATTTCCAATTGTTCTAAATAATGTTATTCTTTATCAACATTTTTTATGAGACACTATTATTAACAAAAGTCAGATTAGACAAAAGAGTTAAATATAAGGTAAGTATATCAATTTATATATATTACCTATAATGTTATGCTTTATCATAAAAGATTATGTTATTGTTAATTTGTTATAAGTAGTTGTCTTATATTATTGTTCTTCAATATAATGTGTGATGGTGAATTATCATGTTCCTTTTTAAATACATTTTTTATCTTAAAATTTTTATGTTACTCTTTTAAAATTTTGAACTTAATTACATACCTACAACAATTTATTCTTTTTATATATGCTATATTATTCGCGCAGAACACATACACTTAATTGGTAAAATTGATGAAAATTATTTTTCTTCTTCAACCTTTAAAAAGCAAATATTTTTATCAATTTTGAACTATAAACATTCTCCTTTCATTATTCCGTAATATCAGTTTTGCTCGTGCCAAATGCCAAATTGGATTTTACTATTTTACTATTCGCTATAATTATAAACTAATTATGCATACTATATATACCTAACTCATTTACTATTTTACTAATTCACTAAAAATTTAAACTAATTATGCATGCTATATATATCAATTGACTCTAGATTTTTTCAAACTACAATCCAAAAAATAAATGTTTAAATTTGTCGGTGGAGTATTTCCTTATTATATTTTTAGAAATGATTTAATTGTATCTTCCGTCTATTTAATAAAAATAAATCCATCGGAGATTATCTCCTGTACGTCTCCGCCGCCGTTGAGAATTTTCCGGCGAAGGTATAGGCCCTACAGCGTTTATCCATCAGCAATATAAAATCAAATCGCACTCAACTTTTTCCATTTCTCTCCTCATGGATTTCTTCAAATCTGTATTCGCCGACGATCCAGAATTTTCCGATACCGATGATGCCCCTACTTCTCCATCATATTCTCAATCTCAACCAGAATCTCCAAACCCTAACCCTAACCATGATGTTCCAGCCATAACGAACGCATGGACTTTCGGTTCAACTTTGTTCAGAACCATAGCATCGAAATCGGAATCCGTTGTTCAAAACTACCGCCGCGATTTCGAGGAATTCAGCTCCGGGTTGAAAATTGAAACCGCTACAATCCGTGAAGTAGCTAGCCGAGCGGTTAAGGACTTGCCGGCTAGGTTTGAATCAGGCGCCGCCGTTGCACAGGAATCGCTAGAATCGGTTGGACAAGCTATTGATAATATCGGCTCCACTGTATCGGAGATTATTGCTCATGGTAAGGAGTCGATCCTTGATAATGATTCTGACAGTGAATTATCTGAAAATAGCAGTAGGAGTTTAGGGAGAAGTAGTTTAGAGCAAAATTTAAACTTGAATGTCAAACCTTATAGTAGAATTGATGCAACAATTCGAGCGACCCAGTGTGATGCGAAAACGTATTGCGATGAACCAGAGGATATGATTGATTATAATGAATGGAAATTGGGATTTGTATTAGAGGAGATGAATGGGGAAATTGAGGGTTTGATGAAGGAAAATGGTGTAATAAATGAGATTTATAGCGAGGTGGTTCCGAGTATGGTTGATCAAGAAACTTTCTGGAGTAGGTATTTTTACAAGGTTTATAGAATAAGGAAAGCTGATGAAGCAAGGGCAAAGCTTGTGAAGAGGGCGATCTCGGGTGATGAAGAAGAGGAATTGAGTTGGGATGTTGACGATGAAGATAATGAGGATACGGAAAGGAGCAACCATGTTGCAAGTGAAAATGTAGCAAAAGAAGAAGTTGAGAAGAAAATAGATAGTTTACAGGTTGATGACAGGGCTAGGAGTTTGGTAAGTAGAGAAGACGAGAAAGAAACAGCTTTGGAGACAACAAGTGATGGTGGGGATGAGAAAGGAATTTTGGCAGGGAGGGTTGATGATAAGGGGAGTTCAGAAGGTAAGAATGATAACAGTGATTTTTCAGTTATTTCCAGCCAAGTGTCTTCGCACGAGGGAGATGACCTTGGGTGGGATGAGATTGAAGATATTGCAAGTGGTGATGAGATCAAGGTGCCCGAGAGAATGAGCCCGAATAAAGCTGATTTGAGGAAACGTTTGAGTGCTGCGGAGGACGCACACGAGGAAGAGTTATCATGGGATAGTGAGGATGATGATGAAGAAGCTGCCAAATCATGATAGTATGCTCATTGTGCTTCTAAAGTTGTTTACTTGCTCTCGGCTACTATTATAGTTTTACTTTCCAAGTATTCGAAAGAGATGCAGCAGTAGTTATTCTGGATTTTATTTGATGGCACTTTATAAGAATAATGTATATATCATTTCTATTTTTTGGAATTTAAGAGAACTGTATCCAACTGCTACTTTGGTCTATTTTCGATGTTGACACTAAATTTGTATTGTGATCTGAGATCTATCTGCATCGTACACCGAATTTCAAATGTGAACTTCCATGTGTTTGGCGCTTTTGAATCTCAAAATTCGCTTGGTGCTCAAAACAAAATATATTCTCCTGCAATTATGTCCATCTTATTTTTGATCAGTACCTTTCCTCTAGGAATCTATGTATTTAATGGCCCTTGGGCAATTCCTGAACTGTACCTTTGCTCTAGGAATCTTATTTTTTATCAGTATCAATTAATTCGAATTGTTTGTTTGATATTTAGTTGCTTACATGGTCCTGAGTCCCTTTCATATGTCAACTTTGTCTCAAGATGTGCTACCTACCTACTCCTTAGATTTACTTTTATGCGAAATGATCGTGCCTTGTCAATTGTCATTGTGGTGCACTGTGGATGAAAACCTGTATAGCACATTTACGTCTCTATCCCAAGCAAGTTGGGATCCGCTTATGAGTTCTCATTGATCATGCCACTCCACTTTATAGTGTGGAAAAAGTTTACTTCTTGAGGTTTGGAAGTGTGGGATAAACTCAGCTCCATGGTTTGAGGGATCTCTTGCTTAGAGTAGCTTTAGTTACAGGACGAGTTATAAATTATCCTTCATTTGAGAGACATATTCTTTACCTAAGGTGAATGTGAACACTCTTAGCCAAAAATCATAGGTGGCAAACAAGTTGGAGACAAGAATAAGGGGATAACCAAAGTGAGTGCTATTAGACAGTCAACATGTGCATAGGCAACTGGCTCCTTAATATTTTAATTACACTATCATGTAACTTTTTAGCATGAAGGAATAGGGTACACAACGCATTCAAAGCTAAAGAATATATTGCTATGTTTGAGCTCTCTGTCAGGCCAGTAAATGCTGACCCATTTCTCAGAGTCGATTACAGTAAACATCAATGACACTTATTATGGAATTTCCAGGTAATTAGCCTTGACATTATCAAAACACTGGAACTTAAGCGCTACTTACAAGTAATATACCAGTAGGGAGATAGCAAAGATATCTATCGATAGAACCATGTTTCTGCCATACTAATGGACAAACAAAGCAAAAATCTTAAAAATATTCCAATCACACGCACATCAGGTTACATTGCCCACACACTTAGTTGTCTCCCTGCCTCAGAATGCGCAGGATGGTCAAGAACAGGTTCAGAACATCCAGGTACAGAGTGACAGATGCCCAGATGTATTCATCATATGTAAACCTCTTAATCAGGTTGTCTGTGTCATATATAATGTATCCGCAGAAAATTATAGCACTCATTGCACTGTAAACAGCACTAGTTGTAGATCCGAGAGGGAAGAACATCTGCAAATGGACAAAGTCTCATAAGTCAGAGCTACAAAATAGGTCATACAAAAATTCTATTTTCTTGAATTGGGACAAGGTGACGAGCAGAAGAAAGGTCACACCAACCTGCATAAATCCAGTCAGGATAAGTACAAAGAGGCTAGTAAAGAGTATTGGACCCAGGAAGCTGAAGTCCTTGCCCTTCTTAGAAGCCCAGAATGTGTAACCGGTCAGAGCTGAAACTACAGCTGATGTCAAGAGCAAGGCTTCAAGCACAATTCTTCCTGTAATTTCGAAGCAAATGACTATGAGTAAATCGTCCAAGCTGTCAAAGTATAAAGATATTCCACAAACGCCAAAATAGAAAGCTTCATAAAGCAGAGAAACTACTCACCATCAGTATTAGCACAGGTCACACCCACCGTGAGACTCAATGAAGCAGTGAAGAGGCCAAGGAAAATAAAATTCAAAGGATGCTTCTGCTGATATATGTGTAAGGGCCACAGCACTGCACACAAACAAATTATTACTGGTCTAACTTCGACAAAGGGAAAGGAAAGTGCAAACAGGTCGATAAACTTTTGGACAATTTGATAAGAGCAAATCCAGAAGCATCAAACCCATGCATTAACTGCAAATTTGTACTGCAGTTCCAAACAGATCTGCATACACTATTAAACACCAAACCAATCACCATAATCCAGTAACCTCAAGTTTCCTCCCTTGTCTCAGCTAATTAGAAAATAGTATTATATACAATTCATAAAGGAGAAAAATATTGCTGCACCATCTGTGCAAACACAATCATTAGAGCTGATCAATGCAGTGGCAGATTTACTAACAAAACTGAAATTACGCTGGCCGCAACTACAACACAAAACACAAAAATCTCAAAATTTGAGATTGTATCGTTGACTGAACACCACGTGAAGAGTAACCTACAAATCCAACAATTCAGAATACAGATATCAACAGTTAATGCACAAGAGAACAAAAGCCAAAAAGATCATAACTCTACCTGGATTCAACGTCTACTATATGTTTATAAAATAATTTTATTTAACCATGTATAAGCAATGAAATTTTCCTCCAAGGGGGTTCAGATGAACCCTTCGACCCTACCTGGCTCCATACCTGCCCAGGTCAACTTGTCCATGTATAGAACATAAAGCGAAGCTAAAATAACCCCCTAATAGATTGCACAATTCCCATTAATCAAAATACATACACAAAAGAAATGATTCTAAGGTGAAACGATAGATCTCAAATTCCGCTCTAGTTGTAGCATAAATAAACTTTATACGCTCAATTCAACGCATTAATAAACAAAGATGAATATCCACAATACAAAATCACGGAAAAAAATATCAAATTTCAGGTCATTATACGTCTAAGAAGTCAACTATTCAGAAATCAGATCGGCGACCAATAAATACAGGACATACACAAAGCAATAAATTACCGAAAAATGAACAGATCTAGGTTTACTTACGAACGAAAGGAAGGAAAACGAGGAGGAGAAGAAGGCCAGGACTTCCACGAAGGAGATCGTTGATCGGCGTATAAAGTACAGTAACGGCGGATACAAGGGTGGTGAGAAGGATCTGAGCAGCGAGAATCCCATAAACTTTACGGATAAAACCCCAACGCAATTGATTCTCTCCATATCCAAGACCTGGATACAAGGTTCCTTCCTCTATATCACCTTTGATTCCTCCATCACTCTCCGTGCTCAAACTCGTGAATCCGTACATCTTCGATCTCTCTCTCTCTCTCTTCTCTCTCTCTGCAACTGCAATGAATAAGGTTTGTTGCGGTGGAATAGAGAAGAAAGAGTAAATTCCTCGATTTTTTGGACAATTCCAATTAAGAAAATAATACTTAAGTAGTGTAATTATTTAATAATAAATATATATGTAGAAGTTTCTGTGATGTTACTTGAAATTCTCTCTCTACTAAAAAATAAAAATATCCCAATATTTTTCTTTCTGCTAATTTACAAATCAAGCTAAACTTTGAGAGAGTTTCAGGATGACTCAGTTGGTTTAAAACTGATTACTTATAATAATAATAATTTGGGATTGATTTATTCTTAATATTTTCTGAATCTTGTCTATCACATTGCTTAGTATGATTTATATTTATATAAATATATTATTTTCTATTGACATTTTATTTTAAAAAATATATTATATAATTAAAATAATATTTATAGTGAGTCATGAAATATAAACTCTTCATAACTTTGCTCGCATAAGAAATATTTACAAAGAAGGAAAAATTATTGAAATACACGTCTTATATTTTCCTTATTTCTAATATTCCCTTCTATTTCTAAAAACCTCTAAAATCTAATGTATCCGAGCTAGTTTTTAATGTATCCGAGCTAGTTTTTAATGTATCCGAGCTAGTTTTTAATGTATCCGAGCTAGTTTTTAATGTATCCGAGCTAGTTTTTAATGTATCCGAGCTAGTTTTTAATGTATCCGAGCTAGTTTTTAATGTACCTGAGCTAGTTTTTAATGTATCTGAGCTATATATTATGTATCTAGTTTATTTTATAATGTATCCGAGCTACATATTATGTATTCGATTTGTTTTAATTTTTCAGGGATTAATGTAATTACAAACTAAATATGAATAAATTATAATTTCATATTAAAACTATGTGATTCCTAAAATTTATACTTAAAAAAAATAATTGGGATCACATATAATTATTTTTCAAATATTTCTATCCTCTTATTGATACAATATCAAATATAATACTATCTGCCTTAGTTTTTTCTTTTTTAGGACATCTCTTGAAATTTAAACTTATGATTTTTTTAGTAAATTTTAGGTTTAGCAAACATAAAAATCATATTTGTATACAATAATTATAGTTTGTATAATTGTGCTTCATAGCAAACTTTATGTTTGCTATGGAGCATTAGATTTGTATAAATCGTTGTCAGCCTCTCATTTGTATAAATCGATGGCAGCCTCTCGTCTATATGAATCGCTGACAACCTCTCAATTCAATTTTATGTGTTTGTATGTCTGTATAAATTTTGAATTTGTATACAATTGAATCGAAATAAAATATTTATATATCAAATCTCTCTCTCTCTCTCTCTCTCTCTCTCTCTCTCTCTCTCTCTCTCTCTCTCTCTCTCTCTCTCTCTCTCTCTCTCTCTCTCTCTCTCTCTCTCTCTCTCTCTCTCTCTCTCTCTCTCTCTCTCTCTCTCTCTCTCTCTCTCTCTCTCTCTCTCTCTCTCTCTCTCTCTCTCTCTCTCTCTCTCTCTCTCTCTCTCTCTCTCTCTCTCTCTCTCTCTCTCTCTCTCTCACAGTTTTCTCTCGCTTTATACAAACATAAACGCAATTTATACATTTGTGTTTGTATAAAGTGAGAGAGGCGAGCGAGATCTGGGAGAGTGGCGAGCGAGATTCGCTGGGGAGAGAGGCGAATGACAACTGTTTGGCAACTCTACCAAACAACCCCTAAGAGTATACATATATTTTTGTGGTATCATTAATGAATCTTGTTTACACCTTACTCATTAGTCAATGATACTATAAGAGTATATATATGTTTTTGTATAAGATTACTTTGTCATACTCTACTCATTAGTCAATGGTACTAAA